TTTTTTTTTTTTTTTTTTTTTTTTCCTTTCTCAACTCATTGCAGAGTGAGAAAGGGATACTTGAAACCGGGAAAGGATTCACTCCTGAAAGAATGTACACAGAGAGGGCAAGCGCTCTTCTGTGGAATCCCAATTGTTAAAGTTACTGCTGAGTAGCCCTTACTTTATAAACTAGAACTTTCAGTCATGGTGTGACCTGTTACAGTTTATCAGACAAACTGTGAATTCCCAGAGCAGACTCACCTGGTCACAGCTCTCTGGAAAACCCAGGTTCCCCATGCTTCTTCCCGGTGTTTCCTAGTAAAGAGAAGAACAGGAAAAAGCACCCACAATTTTTTTTGGGGGGGGGGCTAAGTAATAAGGGTATTTTTAATTGCTGCTTTTTTCAGAGGTAATTTCAAACACACAACGATAGTTCAAAATGTGATTTGTAACTGTCAGGAATGAGGCACATCATGCCCTTTGTTCCAGAGTACAATCAGAGGTGAGAAGATCCCTGTTGCTTGTACAGTAATTCATCAAGCTAAATCAACACTGGTAACTAAGACCTAATTATGCCACGATAGATACAATTTTTATGTTACTGCATGCTTTTATTAGGCCATTGGCTTTAAAAATAACAAGTCCTTACCAAGAACAATTTTATGAATGACCTTCTCATAAAACTGCGCTTTGCCAATAGCACAGTGAATGTATGCCAAATGTAAATCCATTCCAGAATCCATTTGGAAATCTTGAGCTCAGCTGCAGTTCTGTAAGAAATGTGTGCAGTCCATAGGGCCTTTTTTTTCCTCCTTCCAATTTTGTGATGAATTCATGATGTTTACAGCACAGTGTTTTGTGCCACAATCCTAACTTAGCTGAAAAAAAAATCACTATTAGCTGTTCAGTACAGATTTATTTGCACATGTTAATAAACCAGCGTGAGGGAAACTACAGTTGGCCGATGTCATCAAGTTGCATACTGTGTTACTTGGGAGGAGGAGAAGGCTGGTGAAGAAATGAGATTAGAGAGAGGTGAGCGCAAAGGACTTGACAACGCAGAGCTGTTTAAAGTTAACTGGGTGCATTCAGAGGTAATAATGAGTTTGTTCGGGTAGCTCAGGTGATACTAAAGCACTCCTTATTTGTGAAGCCAAAACTTTAGGGTATGAGTAACTGAAGAGAGAGAAAACCATGTGGCCCCCTAGGGTGCACCACTGGGAGACTGTTCATAGGACGTTTAAGGTCTCCGTCATTGAATTTCCTTCCTAGCTTAGAATTGGATTTTGGAATCTTCCCATCATTTGGGTGAATGTAAACGGCAATACCATCAGTAGGGCTTTGAATCCCGAAGGATGTTACCTGAGGCTCAGATTTTAGGAGTAGCCACCCTCGCATGCCATGTGCCCCTCTGTACACACGCGCGTGCACGCGCACACACACCCACACTCTTGAAGCTGTCATTGTATTGTAAGGTACCAGGGGTGTCGGGCAGACCTGGAAACACCAGCTGTCCCTAAATGCACAATGAAACCAAAGGCGTCATAACCCATCGCCATTCTCCTTCAAAATCATCGTTTCACCCTCTACCCACCGCTTTGCCAACGTCTCGTACGTGGAAAATTCCCAAAATATCCACTCGTCTCGCCAAGTACGCGTGGCTCTGTGATTACGCCGCTAAGACATCCCTCACTCGACTGCGGGAAGACTGTGAAAAGAACGGAGAGAAAGCAGATGGGCTTAAAAGCGTTGACCTGAAAATCGCCTTCTTTAAAAGCTTCTGTGACACTGGTGTCTGTCCGTCTCCAGCAGCCGTCTCTCAGTCCTACTCTTGTGTAATATGCCAATGCCTTTGCCTTTGTATGGTTTCCTATCTCTTCAGTGACGATCCACCCCGCTTGGTATTAAATAACAATTTAGGGGGAAAATCTATATCCTGCTTGGTGTTCTAGCTCGAGGTTTACCAGTATTCTTTTCTTAGATACGCCCAAGTGGCAGCAGTTAACTGGGCGCCTGTCCGTTCACAATGAAAGTAGCATGTCTGGAAACAGTCGGATGCCGTAGTGAAACCACGTAGGTGACTTTACAACTATTGCATGAACACACATCCGGGTTAATAAGCTGTCGTCATACGGTAGATGCATGGTTCCAGTCCTTTGGTGATCTATCTAGTCGATCGTTGTCTGCCCCTGCCAGGAAAAAGGAGAAGAAACCAGTCTCTGGGATAGGTGTAGACGGTGGGGTAGGAGGCATCAGAGATGGCTTTTCCAGAAGTTCCGTATGTGTTCATTTCTGGTTGGGCCCAAGTTTCGTAGGCCAAGTTAGGCTGCATTCAGTTTTTAAAGGAAGCAAAATTGTTTTCCACGGACACGTTTGAGCTCTTTAACAGTTCCCCTCTCTAGACTTCTTGCCTCTGACCACTTTGAAGGAGGACTCGGTCAACTTTCAAGGTGCCTTTTGGAAAGGCCGTCCCGGTCAGACTGAAGCGCGTGCCCAGTCGGCCGGCGGCAGGACGGCGGACGCCGGGCCGCACCTGTCCGCCTCGGCCCGCCGCTCTTCGCGTAGGCCGGGGCGCGGCTGGTTGCTAGCGAAACGTCTTTTTTCTTAAAACGTGTCTAGTTTGATGTATCTGGTAACACATAGACCTGACTATACGTTTGACACTATTTCATGGTTTTGTAAACTGGGTTTTTAGAAAGCACACGTGCTGTTTTGTTCCAAGTACATTGTCCCTTAACGTGTGGAGTAGGTCTTAAGAGTTTAAAGTGGTAATAGAGGAGCCAGAAACTTCCTAAGCATTGTAAAATGTTTGCATTGATAATGACCTTGTATGGGAGAGCAAAGAGGCAGGGGGTTTTAAACAGAAGAACTGCGTCGTAGGAAAGGTAGTTTTAGACGAGGAAAAGGAGGGGGGCAAAGTGTTGCTCATTTGTTTATTTCCCTGAAGGAAGTGGGAAGTGTGATAGGCAGTTTAATTTTTAAGGAGCTGGTCTCAGTTTTAGTACTTTTTAATTATTAAAAAAATATCGTTTCCTTCAATTTTGTCATCGTCTTGTCCCGATGATCTAGGGTTCATATCCAACTTTCTGTGGCAACTCAGTTTTCTATAGTATTTTAAAAGGTAACTGTAATGTCTTTGACAGTATAAACAAAAAAGCAAGACTATAAGGCATAAAAAAATTGTCCTTGGAAAACATCAGTCATGTATCCTGGAATGTGAAGATGTCCCTTCGTAGTTAAAGGGTATATTGGTATATCAGTCGAGCAAGAACCATGACCACTGAAATGTTACTATAAAAAAAAAAAAAATCAATAAATTGGGCACTGTCTGTTGCACCACTACTGTATCTTTTTGAAAGAATTGACAGAATTTTCTTAGTGTGAAAGTTAATTCTGATGATGTTTTCACATTCACTAGACCTGCCTTTTTTTCTTTATTATTTGCATCCCCAAATATTTAATACAAGTAGAATTTTGCATGGCTTGGGCATTCAGAGATTAATAGGATGATGACTCGATTTTAGTTTCTAAAGCCATGAAAAGTTGCTTTGAGACTGAACAATTCTGAATTCTTATTTATAATGAGACCCAATGTCCATGGTTCCCTACTGTAAAAGAATTGATCAGTTTCTTCATTGAAACAGCAAGAACCTATTAAATCTTGTAAATACCATGTTTCTTTTAGGTTTCCGTGTATGCTGTGAATCATTATTTTGAGGTGAAATTGTACAAAGGCATTTTAAAAGGCTATGCATGCATCGTACTTCCAAACAGTACATATTCGGAAAGTCAAAGATTCCTGCAAAATAAATTAATAAACTAAAAGCAAACACTACGTTCTGCTTCTTTTCTGTGTAGTTAGAAATGATTTACAGTATCACACTCGACTGAAATAGGCTGTTGCAAAACCTCCTCTTCCGATTCCTCCGTTAATACCTGTAGTAATGTTAGATTTCGGTAATTTTAGAAATTGGGTAGAAGTATATAAAAACCAACTTTATTTTAATAAAGTGGAATATGTTAGGAACTTATATTTTGCATTCTACTTCAATGTATTACTTGCAAGATCCAGATTAAACAAACTTACTTGTCATTCCATAGCTACAGTGGACCCTTGAACGTTAGGGGTTTGATCTGCACAGGTCCTCTTACATGTGGGTTTGTGTCCTACGTCCAGCATAGTACTGCCCATGTGTTTTGTCTTCCTTATGATTTTCCTGTTTTTTCCTTTAGTCTAGCTTACTTAAACAATATAGTATATAATATATATGCAAAAGATGCAGTAAATGACTTACCATCTGTAAGGTTTCCAGTCAACAATCCACTATTAGTTTAAGTTTTGGGAGCCTCCAAAGTTACCCACAAGATTTACAACCGTGCAGGACATCCATGCCCCCATGTTGTGCAACGGTCAGCAATAGCTTTTCAGAGGTCAGCAGTCACAGAGGACGTGACCCTCCTCGTGCTAGAGTCTGTAGTCAACCTTCCAACGTCTACACAGAAATCACGGATCAATTCTAATCTTTTCAGTAAGCATATCTGAAAAAGTTTCTACTATGTTCTTTCAATATATGAAAATGTGTAAACCTACCCAAATACAGAACTGTAGAATCATCCT